CTGTCAGATGCTGGGAATCAAGACAACTACTATGGCAGACGACTTCGGACTCGGTGCGTTCTACATATTCCCCCTGACTATAGGACCAAGTTGCGACAACGAGGTCAACCCACTTCTAGAAAGGTTAGTACGTTTTCACCGGAATCGAAGGAGATTGCCTCGGAAGCAGCGTCAGCATGAATGTTCCAGTAAAGCAAATCGACAGCTGGCCAAGAGGAATCCGCCATCGTCTTCCGGTGGAATCGACCTTCAAACCTCTTCAACAAACGCTTCCACTCGAAATGGAAGTAAGCTCAACAATTATGAAACAAGAGATTCCTCGAAACCCAAATTTTCTTCGCATATTTTCTCGAGAGACTATGCGAACACAAAACCGCTCGTAAATGTCTCTGGGTCTAGAAATCTGAGCTCGCTGAACACATTTGGCAAAAATAGAACACTCAATAGACTCGTCCAAAGCACAACGTTTTGTGGGTTACTGGGACTTCACATCAAAGCGTGAGCTTAGGGAGTCTATAGAAATAAACAAAACCGCCAAAGTCCTGGATAGAAGGAACGATTAAAGAAAACCGAGAATGTACCATTGGCGGCTGTCGGATAGACAGGAAAGGGAGAGAGCGGGGGTGCAGGAGGAGCCACTGAGCAAGAGAAGGAGGCTGGATTAGCCTTGAGTCTAGCAAGGATTATCATACTTCCCACAACATGAGCATTTCATACACACAATAGAGAATAGCACAAGCACTGGGCGGTGGTACGTTAGTTTTTGTGGGATGAAATAGCTGCCACCAAATGCATTTTCGGTTAGGGAAGTTAACTTCCCTCATTTGCAAGCATGTAGAGGAAGTTTGAAGTAGCCAACCAAATCAGAGGTTGCAGCCGGCCACTTTCTTCTCTTGGCTTAGCATATATTTGCTCCATTTCGTAAATTGTGCAATCTTGCTCTGATGACGTATGTCACGGTGGTACAGACGAAAGCTTAGCACAGTTTCATTGGTGCCGAGGATTTCTTGGCGCAATTCAACAGTCTTCCTTATGCAACAATCCTTCTTCTATTTCGGGTGAGACCACATCAAGAATTGCTTCCAACCAACTTTCCCTTCGGAATGGAGGGTCATGCCATGACGCGAGTTTGTCTTCTACAAAGCAGCAGAGATATTCTTTCCGGAAGCATTTCCGAGTTGCGTCTTTATGCCGCATCTACACTGTGGCTGCAATCTTCTCTTGTGCCTTCTCTCCCATCCATTCAAGCATACAAACGTCAACTTGTTCACTATAACGCAGCCTCTTTTGACTTTATAAAGACCCATCACTTCGCTTTGCTTTTGACAATCTGTTATCCAAACTCGGCTCATATACGCTGTTTCATTCGCCTAGACGTCGAAACACAACAAGCTAATATACATCCCCAATCTCCTGCCAAATAAATAGTAAATGAAAAAACAGCTATTTCAGGGCCTAATCGTCTATTAATCAGGTAAACATTAATTAGATACATGCTTTCATTAGTTAGAGCCTTGAACCGGGTATTTTAAAGTGTTTAGTTCATGAAAAGAGCGGCAGGCAACGAAGGATTCCTGCTGTTCTTGCTTGAGTTGGGCATACTTCATCTTCTGAAGAAAACTGGAGTGAATACAATTCTTATGAGTGTTGAGCTCAATTGTATTTCGGATGCAAGTGTTTAGTGAAGAGATTCAAAAGTCGATCTCACCAGAAAACGATTGGTCTTACTGGAACTTTCTTTTTGACACTGTTTCAGAGGCAATTCACTTCGATTCCGCTAAAAACGTGCTAAGCTTTTATCGTTGGCTTTAATATAGTCGTAAAGATGATATCCTGCTCTGATGATTTCCATCATAGGGCGAATGGAGGCTTAGCATGTATTCACATGAATCTAAGGAGATTGCTTCGGAAACAGGGTCAACAGAAATGTTCCATTAAAGCCAATCGGCAGCAGATCATGGGGAATCCGCCGTTGTCTTCAGCTGGGATCGACCTTCGAATCTCTTCACCAAACATTTTCACTCCAAATGGACGTGAGTTCAATCATTATAAATCAAGAGATTCCTCGAACTTTTTTTCGCATATACATTTCTCATTCCAGCTCAACTGGTAGCATAGAAACCCATTCAATATGAATGCAAAGTTATGAATCACATGTTGCTTACAGGATGTGTATACTCAAGCAGTAAATAAAAGAGGATTTGTTATTTTTCTTTTTATGTCAATCTACATACTTGCGTGCTTGAATGTGTTGGTATGTGTACCACCGGATCAAAGGCCACATACAAGAAACACATACACAGAGACATGCATATGCCAAGATGTAGATTGGCATGAAAAGGAACCATCAACAGGATTTAGTATTCTCTTTTACTCTATTGTTTTTTTGCCATTTGTGCTGGTGTATAGAAAAAGTAGGAAAAAGCCGGTTGGCAAGTCTTCATCTTTAGACATAGCAACTAAATAAAAGTTATTACAACAAGTTAAGCTCATTAAACAAGTTAAACATATTCGCCAGCCCGCCTTACTGGCACTTTCATCTTTAACTCTCTCTTCAGATTTCACTCACTCAAAGTAGGTCCGCCTGTCGCGACGGCTACTGCTTCTTTGAGTTGACCCGCCGGATAGCCCCCATCGAGGATGAGTTGTTCAATAAACTCGAGATGGCCGAGGCGAGCTTCGAAGCAGATGTGCTTGTCGATGATCTGCTTTAGGGTGAGCACTGTTGTGGTTCCAGCCAGCAAGAGGGAGGAAAGCAATTCTGTTTCTTTGGTCTGGGAATGTAGGTAGGGATTTGAGCAAAGTTGTTGATGTAGGCGGTTGACGATACCAGAAGGTCAATTGAGTCAGATGGAGGGAAGAGAGAGAGAGAGAGAGATTTTGTGGTGGCATTTATCTGATGGAGATGATGTCAACTAATTCGACGAAGGACACCAAAAGAAATACAACCAAGGTAAAGAATAAGGTAAAACTGGGTTTCGAAGAATTTCTTAATCAAAATTGTAAGATGACTTTCCATTTCAAAGAAGAAGTTGGTTGGAAGGAACTGATGAAATGGCCTAACTGGAAATCGAAGTAGGGTTTCCTTGGAAGGAAGATTGTGGATTGTTCGAAGAGGTCCTCGGCTCACCATCCTGCGGTCCCGATTAACCTTTGCTAAACATTTGCTTATACCGCCGTGACAGACATATTAGAGCAAGAATCTATACTTTTCGAAATAGTACAAAAATATACTAAACCAACAAAAGAGATGGCCGGCTACAACCCTAGTGACTTTTTACATACCAATCATTGCGATCTTAATGAGGGATTCCATTAGTTGGTGTCAAATAAATGAAATTAATTGATGAACAGGAGGTGGGTGCAATGGTGGCTGTTTCCTTGCAAAAATACATAAACTAGTGTATGATCCTCTAATATTGTCTCATGTTTAGGTATGTGGAGTTGTGGGTATGTATTAGCCATACTCGATGTTAGACTCAAACTATCTATTGCTGTTGGATAGGCTTAAGCAGACGGCGAGGGTGAGCAGGAATAACTACTGAACATGAAAAGGAGGTGAAACAGCTTATAGTCTGGTTACATCTATCACACCTATCATGAAATGAACATTTCATACACACAATAGACATTAGACCATGCCAAACATTAGAATTCGTGCGATAGTTTATTAAAGTATAAAAATAGCTGCTAACAAACCCACCTCCTGTTCATGAATTAACATCACTCATTGTTGTGGAGACTTTCATTTTGTATGAAAGTGTATGGAATCAGCCGTCGTTTTCTGATGTGGTTGAAATTCGAATCTATTCTTCATGCATTTTCATATGAAACGAAAGTCTTCCTAACAACGTTATCTCGGAAGATCAATCAGAATTCAGTCACTATTCTTATCTGTAAATTCACTCTATTGCAAGAATGTGGAATAATATTGGGTGTATTCACCATGATGAAGGCTTAATTGTTTAATTTTCCCACAATAATATGAGTAGTTCTGACGATTCACATAGACTTGCTATTCCAAAAGGTGTTCCCATCCAAACTGAGATGGAATACAATCTTGATTTCGCGTAGGTCTTATCAACACCCCCAGTGAAAGTGGAACCATGCAATCTTGACTCCCGCCGGGTTGTTTGATAAGACCTAAGGGAGGTCGAAACTGCAGTCCATCTCAGCCTGGATGCGAACACCTTTTGGGGAAGTAAGGCCGCTGGGTTTCTCCAATGGAAACGACAGTTCTACTCATATGATTATGGGAAAATTCAACTACTAGTCCTTCATCACCTTAAACGAAATAGGGTGAATACATTTCATATAAATGATTTACTGGCTTGTCTCAAAACCTTACTTCTAAACGAAAAAAATGTGGAGTAAGTTTGATTTAGCCAATCAAATCATGGGATGTCGCATTAAGATCGTAAGAATCGATGCATAAAATAGTGACTAAGTTGCAGCCATCCACCTTTTTTCTTGGTTTAGTATATTTTTGCTTTATTTTATAACGTATGGATTCTTCAGTCTTCATTCCACTGCAATCTC